TATATATATAACCTAACAATAACTATACACGTGTTCGCAATAAAAAACTGGCGCGAAATCAACATCGAACTACATCTGAGAAATCTGAAAATTATTGTTTATTTAAAACTTTAAGAAATAACATTGAAAAAAACAATAAGAATATGATCTTTCATATTTTCTATTGCTTTACTTCAATTCAGAAGTCTCATCTATGAAATAACATCAACATAAGAACGTATAAGACATTGTCTTCGCGAAGATAAAACAAATTATATTCGTGTTTACCTATATAACATGCATATAAGTTAACCTTAGCTATTTAGAAATATAAAGAACAAACATTGTATCAAATTAACTTACCGAAAAAATCCTCCCAACTAACGGATCCATCCGAATCCACGGCGTTGGCAGCCGTGGTCTCCGTGTCCGCCTCGCTGCCCATCTCGTCACATCAAATCCCCTCGATTTTTCCCGCAAACAGTCACACAAAAGTGTCAAACAATTCTTTCTCGTTGTCACTGGTCCATGGAAAAAAGCAGGAAGAGCAAAAGGAAGATAACACAGAATCGTCTTTACCAGTGTCGATCCATCGAACATACGTCACATTTCACGTGCGCGCGCCACCGATTTATCCGTTATACATCAATATCGCAAAAGACTAAATAATCGTGAAAAACAAATAAACCACGATTAGTTAATTAGATTCACAGAAGGGAGAGAAGAAACGACATCCCCTTAGCACGCGGTCGCGAGACAGACTGAGAGAGTGGCAGCATTCGACTCGAGCCGACCGACCGTGCCGGCAAGTCAACGAATCGGCAAACAGCCGCCACCAACCCATACACTAAACCGTTTGCTTGCTCTCTCGCGCGTTCCTCCGCTCTAGTCGCCGGCGAGTCGCTCAATGCAACGACTGTCCTCGACGAAGGCGAGCACCGTTCATGTAAATCGCCGTACGCTGGCTGGTCATTGAATTAGGACCATCGAATATGTATTTTTAACCCTTCACAGTAGACCGGTGCCTGCCTGGCTTAACTGGCTGATGTTATTATTTTTTATTTTCTGTCTTTTTCCGTGTTTTTTTCACGTGATACATAACCCTCAATTATTGAAAAGCATATTTATATTTATGTGAAATTACATAGTTGATGCGTTAAGATTCGAAAGAGATGTCGCTTGCGTGGAAGTTCTAGGATGAATTAATTGACCTGAATAATTTTAGAATAATCGTGATTGGTTGATTTGAAAGAGATAAAAAAAAATAAAAAATAAAATTTGGAAAAATACGTAATTGTGTATTTGATAGAAAATCTATATTTTATGAATTTTATCTATATTCTGTTCTGAAATCAAATATCTCGTAATTTGTAATGAAAAAATAATCGTTAAATATTATGGACAACGTGACGTCATAATATAGTTACTTAATTAATTTTTTATAATTATGAACTTTTTAATATCTCATTGAAATAAACGAAATAAACAATTCTACAACAAAAAATATTTAATCATGTTTAAAAAATATAAAAAACTATAATTATATATTATTAAATATAAGAATATTAAATTATAAAAATTATTTTGTATGTATTTTTATTGATATTTTAATTGACAATATTGAACGTTACTATTATTAGTAATCGAATAAATTGAATGTAGGATTTACAAATATATTATAAAATATATTACATATTCATTACAATTTACATTTATTTAACGACTATTACCTGTAATCTATATTATTTTTTGATAAATACTTATACTGAATTGCGAATATGAAAGCACATACAAAATATTCGAATAAAAGATGTGTATGGACTAACAGTAATTTTCCCCCACTGAGTTTAAAGTCTATTCCCCCACTATAGATTTTCACCGAATGCGCATGTGCGAGAAAAATTAGAAAATTTTAATATGACGCTCGTAATTTAAAAATAGTATTATATAAAGTTGAATTCAAATGCAATCTAACGTATAATGATATTTTGTAATTAAATCTTTTTTTATTAATATTCTGGTATTATCAATTCATATATTTAATATTATCCAAAGTATAAAAGTTTCATTTTAAATTATTAATAATGTTTATGAAAATAATAATAATTTTTAATACTTTTCTTTTAATATTTTGAACATTTGTCAGAGTCGAGATATTTTTGAAGAATATATCTTCGTTACCAATTGAGCACTGAGATCTTTTTACCATAAGGGATTGACAAAAACTTCATCAATGTAACATGTGGCGCAACGATCTCAAATATGAATTAAATAATTTTTATTTAAAAAAATGAATGATAAAATTTCTTTCTCTATCAAAATTAATTAAAAAAAGAATTTTTTCTAATTGAATAATTTAATTATTACTATTTATATTTATTTTTAAACAACATTTAACATAACAACATTAAATTTTAAGATTCAAAAATAAAAAATTTCCAAATTAAAAATTTCAAAGTCAAAATATTTTGAATTCTTTTAAAGCATGATCGATTTCAAGCCTTTTACTAATTCTAATAATCTTCATTTTCTACGATCTATGATTGATAACTCACAAATTCTGATATCAAAACTCAATAGTATTAAGTTTCTATAACACATGACTAAAATTTAAAATTCGAAATTAACAAAATTTCAAATTAATAAAAACTGTATAGAAATAACCAAATATTTAATAATTAATAACATCAAAAAATCCGAGAAATTCCATTTCTATAAATATTGTTTAAATATAGATCCAAATATTCATTGCAAAAAAGTCATTGCAACTTGGAAGCGCATGAATTTATTAGCATTAATTATAGTTTATTAAATAAACTAAATAATTGTAAATTTTTTTATAAATAATTATTTTGTTGAATCAGTTACTTTTTTTAGAATTACTTTTTCAAGAATTTTAAACAAAAATCAAGTTCAAGATCACATTACGTTTTTCAGAGTAACACGAAAATTGCATCTTAATGATAGCGTGTTACCGCGCTACAAAGGCGAAAGACCCTTGATATCGATTTTCAAGGACACTTAATGAATATATTCACAAAGTTACTATTCATACGTACATGTCGATTTGTTTCAAAATGGAAAAATCATTTTTTAAAAATATTATTACACGCAATATCTCTGTTAATATTTCTATAATGGATAATATTAAAATTTTTCTGATTCATTTTCAGATAAGTAGGAATTAAATTACGTAAAAATAATAGCATGATTAATCATATGACATTTATGATTAAGATCAAACAAACAATTACAGAATACTGGAAATTTAAATGGAAATATTAATAATTAATCTTTCTTTTTTACATTAATTTAATTTAACTTATAAAATGTCCCAATTTTATGATAAAAATGATGGAAAAATATATTATTTTATTATTTTTAAACTATATATATCTATATATCATTATTAACAGTAATAGTATAATATCTCATTTTATTTTAAAAAGATTTTTTAAATAATCAGAAAAGTAGTCAGAAAAAAATTTATGCAGAAAGTTAAAATCCAATAATGGATATGAATCAATAATTTAGTATCTGTAATATAATAATTATTATAACAAAATACAACATAGAGAATAATGAAGATAAAAAGATAAAAAAAGATATGAAACATTGTTTGATAGAGAAGATAAATACACGTATACCTAATATACCTAATTTGAAAAATTTAATAAATATAGATAAATAGATATTGAAAATCATACGATATATATTATAGAGGATTGATAAAATTTTAGGTCACGTTCGATAGTCTATTTTTTCCATATCTTTGACTCGGTTACAACCCTGAATTCATTAGTTTAATTGGATACCATCAATTCAAACTATAATATCACCTTTCACCTATATTAGATGCATATTACTTAATGCCCCCGCTCATTATCTCTTCGTTCCTTTGATTTTTGCGGTCACGCTAGCAACCACCTTTTCGATCATACTTTATCCGTATTTTTTTCTATTCTCCATCTTTTTTCCTTTCTCTTATCCATTTTAACAATCTGTGTCCGAAAATAACGATTCTATTCTTGAAGTTTCACTTAAGAAAGAAAGAATATTGGAAATCTTCGTTCTTACGTATTATAAATCGAAGTTAAGCGAATGTGGCATGATTCAGCGACAAACCTTTTATGAAGATTGTTATGTTTTTTCTCTTTTCATTCAACGTATCGTTGATTTTTGTGCTTTTTTGATTACGATAAATATCTCGCACATTCTTGCGTGCAAATAAATTTTGCATAGTTTTGTGAGATTTGATTTTGTATTTTTTTTTTTTTTTTTTATTAAAGAATTACAAATAAGAAAGATAGAATTTTGAGTTATTTTAAGTTAATATTTCTTGCAGCTTTTGCATGTTTAATGCATTGACATTGTGTCACGTAAAACATTAATAAACATGAAATATATTTTCCAATATGGGCTAACTTAATTGAATTTCTCCGAAAGACATTAACGGTATGATTATCTTTGTAAAAGTACACGAAAAGGAACGAAAAGATATTATTTATCATATTCAATTTCTTAAATATATTCAAAATTCAATACACTAATTTATCTATTCCGTTGTTTTAAAATTTTAAAAATAAACCAATGAAATTAAATTTGCACATGCTAGTTTAACACTCAATCTAGAAATAAACAGAATCAATTTCTGTTCATGATAACCTATTCCTAAATTATCTCAGTCTATTTCAAATCAACATTCAATCTATTCAGTATACAACCATAAAGTACACAAATCTATTCTTAGTATCTAACATGATTATCCAATAGGAGTTAACTCGATTAATTTTAGATTATGACCATCAATAGTTATTAATTTAGACTACGAATGCAAATTAAAATTATAATATTAGCTTTTTGAATAACATTTATCACATCCACAAATGTTAATTCTTTTATAGCCCGAAAGATAAATCAATCTAAACAAATCTAATTCACAAATACACATCTAATTCTTTTCCCTTCTATTTTTCCCCTAAGTTCAAATCCTTTCTACAAACATAAAACACCCCAAACACCAAATGCTCTATAACAATAAGGGGTGAACCCATGGCTAACACGCGACTTTGAACGACGCAAGAAAGCCGCAAGTGAAAGAGCGCAGGTCTCGAGGCTGAGGAGGAGAAACTGGCCGCGGGTGGTCGAATGAAGTCACGCAAGGGTTAAACTGAGACCCCAGAGTAAAGCCGCCGATTGTTTCCGTGGCAAATCAGTCAGTCTGCAGAATGAGGTGTCCCGCGTGGCTGTTTTTCGCGTTGTTCCCGCGATTTTTCGCCGTGTTACCGGTCACCAATTCTCAAAGAACGCATGCAAGACAGGGATTGGGCCGTGAACAACCTCTGGTCAAGATCACCGAGCAAGGAACGGTCGCTGGCAAGGAGGTGCGACGATTTTATTCTGATTTAGACTCCGTACATGTGATTTTTTTTTCCTCGTTCCTGTAACAGATACATTGTGTTAACGAGCAGAAAGTGATTCACACATAAATCTGATTGAAATCTTTATTGATAGATTGCCAATCAGAGAGCTGTTGCTGTGTGTTTAACATGCGTCGTTGAAATTTTGTAATTAATGATGTGTAATTTCGACAAGTTGTCTATATATTTCTATTAATGTACGACAAGCATACGATTTCTTTATTGTAAATACAAAACTATCAAATAGCACATTATGTTTTTCTTTTTTTTTTTTGAAATATTTTGTTGTTGTTTTATGAAATTATTTAAATAAGAGGATTTAATAATATGTTAAGTTGAAAAAATAGGTGGTATCTTCTTTACACGAATTCCTTTGTACGAAAGATTCAATTGTGAATTTTTATTATTCACGAGCGAGCAGGAAATTATCGTACAAACGTATTTTTCCATTTGTGATTCGATGCATTGAATTAAATAAATCTGAAATGTTTACCGAATCAAGCTTGTCAAGTTTTTATTTGTACAAATAAATTAAGTTGACGTGTTTCGAGGGTTGCTAGGAAATCGAATGGAAAGTTTTATTACGAAGATATTGGGCGATTCTTTTGGAAAGAGTGACAAAGTTTAGCTTATTGTTTAAATCGAAAGAAATTTTAAAATAATAGAAATTTTAAAAATTAGTTGTACTGGATTAATAATGCATATAAAATACTTTTATAAATTTGAGACTAATTAAAAACAAAATATTATAATCTTTTCAAATTTTCTATTTTTTAATAGAAGATAATTGTATCGATATTCGTATTAAAAGATTAAAAGAAATTCTTCATCTTTTATTTTTCTTTGAAAAAATTATTTTCCATTGAAAATATTTTTAATTGAATAATTGTTTGTTTAAATGGAAGTGTTTAATTACAAAGATTAGATTGAAGAATTAGAGATCGAGAATAAAATATTAATATTATTATTGAAAAGATAAGATTTTTTAGATTTCTTAAATTTAAGCAATTTTTTAGATTTTAAAAATCAGAAATCTCGGTTTTTATTTTAAGATTTTACGATAATTTATTTTCTTAGAATTTAAAAATTTTAAAAATCTCTTAAGTACTCTTAAATTTTTATCTGAAAAATCTTCTATAATAAAATCTGATAAATTACAGTTTATATTACTATATTTCTACCTTTTTTAATAACATCATTTTTGCATAACAAACGAGCTTCATATGACAGAAATTCATATATCATTGCGCTATATAAAAGCGTTAAAGTTAAAAATCTGCATTTGAATAAGTATTTGACATTTTAACTGCATGAGAAACAACAACATGCGAGCATCGTAAGTTTCAATTGTAAGTTTCAACTAAATATATGCAAATAATATGTATAATGAATACTAATTTCTAACATTTATGAATTTTAATATTACATTATTTTTTACCTTTTCCTTTTTCATTTTTGCGAAATTTGTGCAATTATGAAATCTCAGGAAAACAGAAGAAAAAGTTTCTTGAACTTATGATATTTCAGTCTCATGCATAATCACATATTCCTTTCTTCCTAAAAAAACCAATTATTTTTTTTCTTTTTTTTTAATTCTGTACTAAATTTACGTTTATCTTTTAAATAAAATATTTTATAAATAATTTTATCTTTTTATTAGTATCTTTTAATTAATTAAATATATTTGGATTAATTAAATATACCTTTTATTATACAGTATAATCAATTATATTCGATTTATCAAAAATAATTAATTAGATTAGCATTTGTTCTGCATATAATTGTTTCATTAATTCAAATTATCTATTTATCAATTCAAAAAAAAAAAATTATTCTTATTAATAGAATCATGATTGATATACATTTTCAAAAGTAATGTGTATAAAAAAATACAAAAAAAAATTAATTTATATTAAAGTAACGATAGTATCGTAACTATAAACTTAAGATATATTCATAAATAAAATTTAAAATTAAGTTAAGAATTTTCCATAAAAGTATCAATCTTTGCAATTTTATTTTATGCGATAAGAAATCACAATATAGCGATTCGATAAAAATCACAAGTTACGTGAACTATGAGTAATGTAATTTTGATTACCTTTAAAAAATGAATTCACGATTGTACTGTGCTCGAACCTGATGTTAAATTTAAGTAGTTTGAAGTTTTGATTGCTAGGCACTATTATTTTTCACTACATATGGAAGAATAATTTGTCACGTGTAATTCATGTTTCGTCAAGAAATTTTTCCAAGTATTCAGTTTTTCCTTAAAAATCATAATATCAGTAATTAATGTGAAATAACGTGAATTATTTCTTTTTATATTTTTGACACAGTTATTTGACAAAAGTTTGAATATCTGATATCACTTTCTTTATAAAAAAATTTTTATTTGACGACTACTTTAATTTTTGACATTTAAAAAATTCTCTTAATTTTCTGATGTCTTTTTAAAAATAATAAACTTAATTCTTTTTTTCAAAGCAAATTAAAAACTATTTCTTCGTTTATATTGCAGGTATTTTTAAGTGTTACTCAAAAGGTGATACAATATTTAGGAATACCTTATGCCCAGCCACCGTTAGGAAAATTACGTTTTACTATTCCTGTTACCGAACCGCTTCCATCATGGAGCGGTATACGAAATGCAACACAATTTGCATCATCCTGCCAGCAAATGACAAATCGTTTGAAGCTCCATGAAAAATATTATAAAAGATTGTTGCCACCTGATCAATTCGATCCTGGAGTTAGCGAAGATTGTCTGTATTTGAACATTTACACTCCTGATGGTAAGTAAAATTACCAATAGTTTCTATAAAGTTACTATCTAGTAATCTAGTAATTTAGTTACTATAAAGTTTTTATAGAAATAAAATAATTTTTTCTTAAAAATATATTTAAATAAAATTAACATAATAGGAATAATATAAAAATAAATCATAAATCAAGATATATGTGTAATTATTTTTAAATAAAAAAATATTCTCATAAAAATTACTATATCTTTAATTACTTATTTGCAATCTTAATCTTAATTTAATTTTCAATAAAAACTATTTTATTTAAAATTTCTTATTATCATAAATTATCTCTAATTATTTGTTTTAATAATCAATTCCAATTAAAAAAAATTAATTTATGCTTCTTAAATAATTTCAATATTATAAACTATATAAAAGCTTTCATAATTTTTAACATGTTTAACAAACTGAAAGACAATCAGTTTGCTTCACTTTTCATTTCAAACAATTTAAGTATTTATAGTCTAAGTACTTATAATCCTCATTAACCAGTAACATAATATTATTAACTGAAAAGCAAATCACGTTCATCATCTTGTTCAATTCAAAGTTGCGCGTAATCGTAATACATAGTGTTGTTAATATGGACAAAATCTATGAGATTTTTGATACTCGACACGTGATCGTTTTTTCTCATGCGAACAACACGCAAATGACAATAATCATCTACATCCATTTATTTCTTAATCTATCGATATATCATACAAAAAGGTGGTGTGATTTGATAAATGCCTCGTGTCGAAGAAAAACTTGTGATTAGAACGTCGTCAAGGACTGAAGAAAATTATTTCTGTTTTTTTATCAAGTTCACGTGGGAAATTAATAACATTGTATGTATACACATAATTTAGTTTATAGCAATCTAAATTGTCGAAATTGGACTAATGCAAATTGTCCATCACGTTTGAGGTTATTTGATAATTAATTATAAAAGTAACATTTTTGATTATGATTATGATAAAGATTAAATGTTTTTTATTTAAATAAAAAAGATAAAAGAATTTATTAGTATCATAGAATTCTTATAAATATTTTAAAATCCAGTTATAGCTTAGTTCAGCAAATATTCAAATCTATCAAGCTAAATTACTCTTATCATCTATCTTTCTAATCCTATTGTTTGTTCAAAAAATATATTGCTCTCTGCAATGTTTTGGCAATAATATTACTATATTTTAATATAATATTGTTGTAATTATATTTTTTGTTTGTATATTTTATATTTTATTATATTATATATGTGTATTTTGTATATTTTATACAAAAAATTTATCATGACTTATCGAACAGTTTCCCGTTCCAATTTCTCAATTGACAATAAATGCGACGACCTGCGTGTCGACGATACGTAAATCTCATAGTTCTTGGATGTCGGTTAAGGACTAAGCTAATAACAACATTACAAGCATCATTTTCAGCTAATTTCGAATGTCATGTTTACTATGGTGTTCGTAAAATTGAACTTTCAGAAGTCGTAATCAGTAACCTAACCTCTTTCAAAATATGATTATTCGTTAAAAATATATTCTTTTTTAAAAAACTTTTAACATTTCCGTTTATATTTATTTGTGTTTACATTTTATGTCAAATTTTAGATTTTTACAATATAAAAATAAATAATATAAGTGGAAATTGAATTTTTATTTAATTAATAGTACTTATTTGGGATAGATTACGATCTAAGTGACATATATATATACTTTAGACATGATAATTATATCTTGACAATTATTATCGAAATTAAGTGAAGTATAGAAAAAATTTCAACACTATAATTTCGTGTAGTTTAAAGGAATCCTTCATAAAATTTGCTTTTGAAATATTATCATTTTGACATTTTTATAAATATGGGTCGAGGATATTGGATATGATTTTTTTTTTTGTAATATAG